CTTTCCCTATTGAAGGACGAATTCTCTGATGTACGCTTGAACATTATCAGCAAACTTGACCAAGTGAATCAGGTTTGTTTTGATGATTACCTATATAAAGGTTCTCCACATCTTCGTGAAAAACTAGTAGTTCTTTTTACTCGGGGCAACTTCTTTGTCCGTTCATTTTCAGATGAATTATAATCGTGTTATTATACTTTGGCAGGTTATTGGTATCGATCTTCTATCACAGTCCTTGTTGCCAGCTATTGTAGAACTGGCTGAAGATAGACACTGGAGAGTACGACTTGCAATAATCGAGTATATTCCCTTGTTGGCCAGTCAGTTAGGCATAGGCTTTTTCGACGATAAGCTTGGTGCTCTTTGCATGCAATGGTTGCAAGACAAGGTTTACCATCCCTTTCCCTCCTGAGACAGGATCTGATAATCAGTTCTTTTTTTTTTTCCAGTAAATACTTAAACTTCTTGATATCTTGCTGCACCTCAAGACTTGTATGGATGCTTTTTTTTTTGGTCAGGTCCACTCAATTCGTGATGCCGCTGCAAACAATCTTAAGCGTCTTGCTGAGGAGTTTGGTCCGGAATGGGCAATGCAACATATAGTTCCTCAGGTTTGTCAATAAGCTAAGTGATGGTTTTCATCAGAATTTTCATGGCAGGGAACTTGGGACTGTTGGATCAAAAGCAAAGCTGAAGAAACTTATCCACTCTCATGCATATTGCATACATGTTTAGTTTAATCTGCTTCAGCTAGTTTGTATATAATCGTTTATCGTTATCTCATTAAGAACGTCGTTCTTCTGTTACACATGGATCTGCAGGTCCTCGATATGATTAACAACCCGCACTATCTATACCGGATGACCATTCTCCGAGCCATCTCCCTTCTTGCCCCTGTCATGGGCTCGGAGATTACCAGCTCCAAACTCTTGCCTGTGGTGATGACTGCTTCCAAAGACAGGCAAGTTCTCTCCTTTTAACGCAGAAACCTCACCTCACATCACAACAATCAATTTTTTTTTTAACTAAACATTCTCTCCTTCCGCAGAGTTCCAAACATCAAATTTAACGTGGCCAAAGTACTGCAATCACTCATTCCGATCGTTGAACAATCAGTAAGTGTATCAGAGCAAAACCCTTTCCGTTCTTCCTCTCTTTTACCCTACCGAAGTTCTCCGTGTTTTTATGGAAATATTTGTAATGTTAAGGTGGTGGAGAAGACGATCCGGCCCTGCCTGGTGGAGCTGAGCGAGGATCCGGACGTTGATGTCAGGTTTTTTGCAAACCAAGCTCTCCAGTCTATTGACAATATGATGTCCAGCTAGACCTTATCGGTCTTCCATTGAAGCTTCTTGTTCTTTGCCATGTCTGTCTGTGTCTCGCCTGGTGGTAGAGTTGATGCCTTGTAACCTAAGTAACTGCTTCTGTCTCGTTTTTTTTTTTGTTTTTACACGCCGGAATCGTACGGGACCTTTGTCTGATGAACTATGCTACTAAATATTTGCATCTTGTTTCATCGGGTTGTGTGATTTGTGTCATTGCCCTCTGTTCGTACGGCCCGTTTACATTTCGAATTCGTCTTTCCAAACTAAAACGATACGATAATTCTGCAGTCAGATCCTCCATGTTATAATCAGTCAAAACAAATTAAAAGTAACGGACAATGACATTGATAACAATATTAATCTATATATGTACATACTCGGAAACTGACCAACCAACATTTTGAATATATAAATATTTATTTATTTATTTATGGCGGCGGCGGACGGGATGTGGTGTAATCGGACGTTGGTAGTGAGGACTTGGCTCGGCCCCCTTGTATGCAATCTATATTTCTGATTATTACACCCCAAAAAAAAAAAAAATCAGATTCAATAGATTTGATGAAACTACTTTTGACAAAAAAAAAAAGAAAAAAAAATAATGTTGTGTAATATGCCCATTCTCTTATCATTCAAAAACCGACCGACCTGTAAGTGGCTTTTAACTTGGTCGTTTGTTAATCCGCCGACCTTCATTATCCCCCTTATCTGTTTGGGCGTAGCAGCTGCGAAGCCATTCAGGGAAAAAAACACACCCCGAAAGGAAAAGGAAATCAAAAGTTGTTTTGTTGGGAAATTTTAGGGTTATACAACTCGAAGCGCAAACGCACCATGAGCGCCGCCGAGCTGTTGAAGAGCGTTCAAGAACCGCCTGTGCAAATCTCGCGACCAGTAGCGCCTCTGTTTTCTCTTCACTCCGACGTCTTTCTCCGCCTCATTCTTCATTCCATCTCCGCCGCCGATAGTCTCCGTCTCCGGAGTTTTCCTGTTCTCTTTGCCGTTTCTCTCCACCCCGACCACCGTCTCTTTCTCTTGCAAACGCTCCTAAGAACATAGAACGATAAAACGCAGAACGCTCCTAAGAACGGTTGTGCCATTCGCTGCAAAGTTAAGTAACCAAAAGACGTACCTCTTTGGTGGGCTGGTCGGGTTGGTTCCAAAGTTGAACAGATTTGAGCCAGTCGGATTTTGTGTCACTGTCATCTGTTCTGCCGTTTGACCGGTGAGATCCATGTTCATCACCAGAAGATGATCTCTTGATGGGCATGAACTCTTCCAAGATGGGTCGACCGTACTCTCCGTTCGTCTGTTCCGAGCACTCCCATTGGCTGTTCATGTTATCCGCCGCCGCCGTTCCCGACATCTCTCTCTTACATGCCTCAATCGCTAAATTTATGTATATATTTAGCGAAATGCAGACACAAGCGTATGTATGTATGTGTGTGTGTGTGTGTGTATACGTACTTTGGGTGACGAGCTCTAGGCAAAGAGGGAATTCGCGTTGGAAGACGAGGATCTTGCGGCGTTCTTCTTCAAGGGTTTCGATGCATTCTCCACGTGTCTGCCGTTTCCGAGTGTAATCCACCTTGTTTATGCTCTTGACCATGGTGTTTCAATTAGGGTTCCAATGGCTTTAATTTTTTTCCCTGTTTGTCTAGATGGATAATGTATATAACATGCCTGCGAAGGATCTTATATACATATCTATCTATCTATATATATATATATGTGTGTGTATAAAGAATTTAATTGGTTGCCTAATTAATATTAGAATAAGAAGAGAAATGTCTTGTCGTACTAGTAGTAGATGGGAAGTGGTGAATATTCGACAGTGATTCCAGTTTTTTTGGCAGGAAATTTATTACCTCAATTTATACAATTTTTTATTTTGTTAAAACTCAATTTATACAAGTTGGTGCAGCAGCCAGTATAGATTCTTATTATTATAGCATACGACTTTTGCATATATATATATATATATTTACACATCAATTGGTTACAATTTTATAAAATCTAATTAATTAGTGATAAAACGACTATCAAAAAATAAAAATAATATAAAAGAAAATTATTTTAGTTATTGTAAACAAAAATCCGAATGGACTAAAATCCTAACGATATATTATACCCAATTATTGGTAATGAAAATATTAAAACCTTTATATAGAGGTGTATCATATTATACCGTCCAAAAACAAAACTTTATAATTATCAAAATTATAGTTATTTTGTTTGATACTCTTGGGTGCATGAGATGCGAGTGTGTAGATGTTGTTTTGTCGGTCCAATACCGCCCATAATTGTTATTTTCCACTACTGTTATTTTTACGAATTTTACTTTTTTTACAACTATTTTCTCCAATATCAATAGATCCCTTTCGTGTAAAATTTGGTGTAATAAAACACAAAATAAAATGCCCAAACCTCGCAGAGAATCCAATTTGAGATATTTTTCTAATCGTTTCATGAACACTATTTAATATTTATTTTCGACATCGCATCGACGGAAAGATTATACAGACAGCTCATATCATCAGGACAGAAAACTACGAACTAAAGCTTAGACACACGAGAAAAGCAGAGGAGATTTGTTTAATTTAGTTAATCAGTAAAGTTACGGATGGTTCCGGTGGGCTCAGTCGCCAGAGCCTCCGGCGAAGGCTTCACGTCCGGTGAGGGCTCGACAGGTTTTCCGGTGAGCTCCGCCGGCAGATCTTTGATACCCTTCAGGTAAAAGGTGTAGAAAAGCTTCGTCGGATACACCAGTTGACGAAGCTTGACCTGTCCGTACGCTCCCTCGAAGACACCGGCGCCGCCGGTGATGGACAAGTACGTGTCCTCGTACGTCAAGTACGGTCCCTGTACGGACAAGTGGCCGTAGTCTCCGAAGTAGAAGCTGTAAGTGGCTTCAAACCGGTCTCCGTTCCTCTCGGGCACGTGCTGAATCAGGACGCAGAGACCGGCGGTGATTCCCAGGCGCTTGGTGAGGTCGCCGGAGTACAGCTTGTTCGTGAAGGGGACAAGATCTCCGAGACAGAGCTCCGGTTTCTTCCCGAGTTTCAGGACCGCCGGGCTGTTCCTATCTCCTTCGTTGAGCTCGTAGACATGGAGTTCTTGAACTTTAGCTAAAATTTTCCAGAGAAAATAACCTCAAATAATTCAAATTTCACTGAAAATGTGTTCGAAAACTCAATCATACGAATTCAGGAAAAGGGGTTCCCTTTTTTTCCCCAAATTTGATCCCAAAAGTCACCATTTTTCTCAAACCAGAGTTCCGAAATCCGTTTCGTTTTTACCTGATCATAGTTCAAAAGATAATAAAGTTTCGATTTTTCGTATTGGATTTCAGAGTTGACTTACGTGGTGTAAATTTCTCGCCACTGAACAGATTCCAGATGAAGGCACCGGTGGCAGTCGAGTTCTTGGAAGTGGGCCTTGATCGTGCGGAGAAATCTGAACCGTTGGATGAGATCCTGATGTTCTGTAAGGATCTGGAGAAACCCGGAACAGAACTCCGGTGAGATCGATGATTGGGGGACAGATTTCCGATATTTGTGAATGAGATCGCGTCGATGAACATCGCAGTAGCAGAAGAAGCCATTGTCAAGACTCGCCGCAAAAGGTGTTTGGAAAGATTATAATTTTTTGTGGATTTGTGGGTTTATGTATTTGCATCTCTCTCTCTCCCCTTCTCTCTCTATATATACAGTGGAGAGTTTGCATTATTGATGATGAACCGGTGTGTTGCATGCACGTGTGTAAATTGTGTTCAGACCAAAGCGGCTGAAAAGGGGGAAATTTCGATTCGGCTTCGGTGGTCGGCTTTTGGATTTGGATCCGGACTCGTTTGTGGTCGGTCCATGCGAATGATCCGTACAAAAAAACGTGTGAAGCCGCATATTCAAATGCTTACAAACAAATGAACACGGTCTATGCCCATAATAGGTTTATTAACGAGTTTGACCGGGTCGAGACTTGCATGATGAATCAAATACCCTTTCACACCTGAATCGAATTGGGCACAGTTGTCGTAACTAAGATACAGAAGAAGAATCAAAGTCGTGAAGATAATAATCTCTATGGCTAAGTTTAATTACCTTACAGGATGATGTTATCTGAATAAAGAAGTGTTTCAGTAAGTGGTGAGGATATCTGCACCAGTTCTAGTGATGAGAATGGTATGCTCAAACTGTGCGGCCGGGCCACCATCTGCAGTCACGGACGTCCAGTTGTCCGGCCATGTTATGCAGTCGGTGGTTCCAATGGTCAGAATTGGTTCTGCACGGAACAGATTATACCGAAATGTATATAATGCAATGCATCCACCGAATTGATAAGCAAAAGTATACGCAGAAGATGGGAAGAGAGAATGGCTGGCTCACCGATTGTGAAAGTTTGGCCCTCGACCATAAGCCCGGGTTCGTCGTTACCTGGAAGAACGGGAAAAAGAAAACGTAGCCTCGGGAAGAACATCCATAACGAAAGAATAACTGAACTTGCTGATAAGAAAAAGAGATTGCTTACGGTTATGATATATCAGAGGTTCAGAGTGAAATATTTTTCCGACGCCATGACCAACAAAACGCTCCACCACATTGTAACCGTACTTTTCAGCATGCTCGCTGTTGTAAAGGAAAACCATTCAAAGATTTTATCTTTTCTTTCCTCCATATAGAACTGCAGGGTGGATTGCTCGAGATTCTAAAGTTCAATGAAAATAACATGTTTCACAAGCATGGATTATGTATATACTACCTGATTCTCTTTCCAATTTTCTTGAAGCTTGCTCCGTCCTTACAAACAGCGATGCCTTTTTCCAAGCATTCTTCCGTGACCTTCCATTAAAAGTTCAGAAGCATCAAGCATAACAAGAGGAAAAATAAACCGACAACAATTTGTATATCAAACCAAAATGATTTCATATCAGCCGACAGGCAAGAGGAAGAATCATTAGTTTCTTCTTACCTTCACGAGTCGTTTGAGGGAATCGCTGACATCTCCACAGAAGAAAGTCTTTGACGTATCTCCATGGTAACCCTGTCCAAATGTTATGTTACAAATAAAAAAAGGTGCTAATAAGGTATAAACAGCTTATCGACTGAATCCACAGTCTCAAACAACCAGAAACTAAAACGTACACTGATCTGAGAATTGGCAACAAAATATATATGTTATATGGGCTGATCATAATAACATAAACTCAACAGTCATATGACACAAAACAGGAAAGATGTTCGAAAGGTGTGTACAGTGCCAAGAGTTTTATGATATCAACCAATTAAGCATCGGACAAAACAAAACAAGACAATACAAATACAAGAATAAATGCAATAATCGGTAGATTAGTTAAAAAAAAATGAAAAAGACTCACATCCAAGTAAACTGTGACATCGATGTTTATTATATCCCCATTCTGCATAGAAAATGTAGTTAGTGATAATACACACGATTTCATGAAAGAGTTGTAAGACTAAAGGCAGTGGCAAGCACATTCCGGACCTGTAGCTGGCGAGAATCCGGTATTCCGTGACACATGCACTCATTAACTGATGTGCATACACTTTTAGGAAATCCCCCATATCCGAGGGGTGAAGGATAACCTCCAGCTTCGATGATCATCTGATGCACTGCCTTGTCGATTTCATTTGTAGTCACAGATGGCTGCAGAACCGTTTACAATAATTAAATGGGTATGAAAAAAGCATAACGCTACTGGACATTTCGAGGAAGAAATGCCTTAAGTGATATCAATCTTACCCTAACCAAAGTTCCAGCAAAGTCTAAAACACGAGCAGCAAGCTCACAAGCAGCTTTCATTTTCGCAAGGCCTTCTGGGTCAGGAATCTGAAACTCAGTTGATATCTCAGGTAATATGCCAGACTCGACATATGGAGGCCGTGGTATGTGATCAGGCACGGAAAGACGAGGCGATACCCTTCCACGTCTCAGAGGTGGTCTCCTCCTAACTTTTGTTGTGTTTTGGAGCTCACGCATTCTGGAGATTGTATGAAAAAAGGTTTGAACTTTCACATTACATTAGCAAGAGTACCCCACTCAACAATATCGGCTCAATGGCATGGAGAAAAGTTTGTAATCTCTTGAAAATTCATGGATTCAGATAAAATAACCTTCTGATTCTCATTGCCTCCTCCAACCCCGAAACCTTCCTGGCATAAACGAGACATTTTCTTGGCAAACATGCGTTCTTTCCTGGAGAATAATACAAACCCAATTATCTCTCTCGCGAGATTCAAAATTTATGATTCGACGAATAAAAATTTCAGAGACTCCAACATTAACATCGAAACAAACAGTAAGGTTTCGTCTGCTTGAACCAGAATCGAACAGCTTAAAAGCCAGAATTTCCAACACTTTCTCTATCTCTATGAGTTCTTCGTAGACCTAATGAGGCATTACTCCCACTGGGAAGCCTAAAGCAGTAGCCATCACGAAACGAACAGAGCAAATCGGAGAACAGCTAACGACAAACCGGAGCGCGGTACAGAAGAGAAGGTGACCAGAGCACCGGCGAAGGACCTCGACGACGATAAGCTATCGCCGTTAAAGGAAGAACCGAGTTGCAGAGATGACGACGACGACGAATTGGATAGAGAAGCAGCAAACGCCATTTTCGTCGCTTCAACGGAGGTTGATTTTTTTTTTTTTCCAATTTAAATCGTAACTGATAATTTTTCATGGAAAAAGCAGTTTGGGCTCAAATGTATTAGAAATGCATTTTATGGGCCCAGCCCATAAGTCCTTTTTATAAAAAAAAGGCTTAAAGGTCTAATAAAGCTGTAATAATACAAATACCCAAACAAAAATTATGTAATGTATATTTAAACATAAACGATAGATGCACAAGGAATTTTATTAAACATTTATAACTAAATAAATTATATAATATGTAAATCCAAAATTCATGTGGATTATCTTTAGGGGTGGACGTTTCGGGAAACGGTTCGGGTTCGAGACGGAATGGATCGGTTCGGTTATTGTGATTTTACAAAAATAGGTATCAATCGGGGGTTTTATTGTATTCGGTTCGGTTCGGTTTCGGTATCGGTTCGGTTCGATTCCGGATTTTATTAAAAAAATGTTAGATTTCTGTTTAAAATATTCGGTTTTTCAGGATTTTTAAAGTTCGATTCGGTTCGGTTCGGTTCCGGAAAAATTCGGTTATCTAAAAATGGTACCGTTCGAGAAATAACAGCACTTCCGGGTCGGAAAAAATACCGTTTTAACGGTTCGGTTCGGTTCGATTCCGAAGAACGGAACCGAAACACCCCGTCCTAATTATCTTTGTCATCCAAGACCAAAACAAGACGAAAACATTAACTTTAAGTCAACAGTCAAATCTTTTATCAAATCTTGAGATGTGTGTAATGATTTGGAGGACAATTAAATGTAACTCGAAACACCAAACTTCACAAGGACTTTAAAACCCAATTCAGAGAAACGATGAGTGGATGTACTTTCTGTCATGAGCATTAAAAAGTGTGTGTGTATAATATATGTATTTAGTAATTAAATAAAAACTCGTAAATAAACGAATAACAAATGTTAAAAAAATTGGGTTGGAATATTCGAGAGAAGTTGAATGAAACTAATGTAAGATGAAATGATATTTAAACTAAATAACATATCTGAATGGAATTCAATATAAAATTAATTGAATATAACTTTTTAAAAAATAACTACTAGAAGTCAAATCTACAAAATATTGAAAAAAACACTAATTCAAAACTATTTTCTTCTTAAATTAGCATTTTTAGGAAAATATCAGAATCATGAATTAATAAACACTTGATATAAAAACTCGGCAGTCATAATTTTTATAAAATAAAAAACTAAAACAAATCAAAGTGTGGATATAATAATAAAAAAATCTAAATATAGAATATCATTGAAAAAAAATGATGATGTCAATTTGCTAGTAAAAAAAACGTAAATGATTTCGTCACTCGCTTCGATATCCGGGCCTGCCTGGGCATCTCCCTGTGCTCCACTCCACTTTCCACTTGTGATCTTCCTCGTTTAGCCATTCCCCATCTCATAAATATTTTACCACCGTTTTTTTACATTTTATATGCAATCCAAATATGCCCACTAAACTTATTAAATTCAATTTTGATTTTTTCTAAAATACATAGTTATCTCTAAAATATTATTTCAATATCATATATAGAATTTTTAAATAATACTTTGAATTTCTTTTTTCAGATTATACGAATTTGATCTCCTATAGTGGACTGCATGCTAGCTTGCATACACGAACACATAACTATATGTGTAAATTACACTTTGCATGTAAAATATGTGCGAGTCATGGGACAAAAATGCCATGCATGTTTGCTTATGAGAATATACAAGATGTCAAGAACATGTAACCAGATAAGTTTCTAGTTAAAGTCCTAAACATTTCGCTTTCTTCTCTCATATTTTCTCCATTTGAACCATTTTCGGACAATAATGAGAGAGAGAGAGATTGACTGCTCACACGACCTAATCGCTCTCTCTTCAATAAATCACCAGTTACAATATACATACATATACACCAACCCATTCAGTTTCTTCCATTTCTTCTGTTCTCGTTTCTTTGTGGAACATGTGGTGGCTGAGAACAACAGCACTTCCCTCTGTTCTGTTCCTGTGTCTGCTGTTTCTCCATTGCAGAGGAGAATTATCACCGGAGGTTTCTCCAATGGAGAGATCAGAACGACAAGCTCTGTACTCCGCCATCAATGGCTTTGTTGGAGGCTCATGGAATGGCTCTGATCTCTATCCTGATCCTTGTGGTTGGACTCCCATTCAGGTTCTCTCTTCTTCTTCTCTTACCCTAAGCTTTTTCTTTATGGATTCGCATATGTTCATCTTGAAAATTGCTTTACTTTGTAACCCATGTTCTACAAGAGGGATTCTCATTTATCAAGAGAAATGAAATCTTCACTGTGATGATACAGTATTTATGCATTTGTCAGATACTTGTGTTTGTTAGTATAATAGTAACGAATCTCGAACTTATGACAATAATGAGTATACTCCAGATTCTTGAATTTGGATCTCTTGTCTGAAAAAGCTGGGCCGAAATCAAAATTCAGAACAGACATAAACTATGAACTGATGATGTGCGTGGAATCATTACCAGACATGGTCGAGATTCCAGGGCATTCTTTTGTCATCCACACAGCTCTCGCTGAAATTTCTTGAAACGGCCAACGATCGATCCACTTTGAAGTTTCCTCAATCGGAAAATGAAATTTAAAGCTTCAATACGTCAAAGTTCATCCCTTTTTCGTATAACTTCTGTCCTTTATTCTTTTTATATGTTTAACACGCAGCTTCAATTATATCAACTTGGCCCACCAGCAGCATTATTCCTCCACTGCTCCATCCTTGATCTAAATTTAAAACGTGCCTTTTGTTTTCAGGGTGTTTCCTGTGACATGTTTGATGGGTTGTGGTATGTCACCGATTTAACACTTGGCCTTGTTTATGAAAACTCGCTTTCTTGTGCCGCAAGTTTGAAGATAAAGCCGCAGTTATTTGCCTTAAAGCACTTGAAATCCCTCGCGTTCTTCAACTGTTTCACCGCTCCCATCACAATCCCTGAAAAGGATTGGTTAAACCTTGCATCCAGCTTGGAATCGCTCGAGTTCAGATCCAATCCTGGTCTGGTTGGGGAATTTCCTAAAACCATCGGCAATCTCGCAAAGCTGCAGTCTTTAGCGGTTCTGGAAAATGGGTTCAACGGGAAATTACCGAAGACCATCTGCAACTTAACGGGGTTAAAACGGTTGGCTATGGCGGGGAATTCATTCATAGGCAAGATCCCAGATTGTCTCAATGGATTGAAAGAGCTAGTGATTTTGGATTTGAGCAGCAACTATTTCTCCGGGCCGTTGCCTCGTTCTTTTGGAGACCTTGTCTCGTTGCTTAAGCTTGATCTCAGCAACAACCTTTTAGAGGGAAGGCTGCCTCAAGAAACGGTATCTTTGAAGAATCTCACCCTTTTGGATCTAAGGAACAACAAATTCTCAGGTGGGTTGCCTCCGAGTGTTGAAAAGATGCCATCTTTATCAGAACTGGCGTTGTCAAACAACCCAATTGGCGGGGACTTGTTGGGAATAAACTGGAAAAGGATGGGAAATTTGGCCATTTTGGATCTTTCGAACACGGGTTTGAAAGGTGAGATTCCCATTTCCTTAACCAGTATGAAAAGATTGAGGTTTCTCGGTCTGAGAAACAACAGTCTCACAGGCAATGTCCCATCAAAGCTTGAAACTTTACCTTGCCTCGGCGCTCTCTACATCGACGGAAACAACCTGACAGGAGAGCTTAAGTTTTCCAGAATGTTCTACCAGAAAATGGACAGAAGATTCGATGCTGCGAGAAACCCTAATCTGTGTTATCCATTGGAGATCATGTCGTCGTCTCAGCAGCAACGTGTCCCTGTCGGGGTGAAGCCATGCACGCCCACGCCTGCATGGTGACCCATCTGGCGTGACTCCAAAACCTTAATACTAATTAATTTATCTATTAGTAATATCTATTAATTATATTGTATTATACTAATGAATTTATGACTATAGCCTATAGGGTAATTAATGTGTCTAGTGAATAGATTTGATGCCGATGGCTTGAAAAGATATAAATCCCTTTGGCTGTAACAACTTTGGTTTCATCTATCATATCTATTGATATATTTATGCGAGAGCATGTATGCATGCATGTACATGTTCTTTCTCTTCCAAGGAAATGTGAGAATATTAGTTAAGCATGTGAATGCAGATGAATGGAGTTATGGGTTGGATGTTATATTATATGTATAAATTATTCTACAAAAAAAAATATGTATAAATTTATAAATTATGGTAAGATGATAAGATCCTCATTAAAGAGCGAGTGAAAACTCAAAAGCCCAATTAATTTATACAAATTGGTTTGGGCCTTTTATGAAGCCCATTAACATCGTGGTCACTGGTTTCACCGGTTCTGGGTCAACTTTCCCCCGGTTTGGTCATTAACCGATCGATCCTAAACATTGCTCATAATTTGTTCGTCGAAATGCCTAACTGAAAAAAGTTCCCAGAAAGCGTCTCTTTTAGAAATCTTATCCTCTCCCGCTTCGGTCTCACATTCAAAACCATCCACCACCGGTAAGTTTTGCCGGCGATTCATTTCTCCGGCGTCAAATTTCTCCGGAGAAGTTTCAGGGCTTGAAGATTTAAATCTACTTGGTCGAGTAGGAGAAATGTTATCCACCATTCAGCCGCCACGCAACCTCTCCCTCCTCTCTCTCCGCCGCATCCACTCCAAACCCATCATCTCCTCCGCCGCAACCGCCTCGTCCGCTGCTGCCTCTTCCTCTCCACCGGAATCCCAGATCCTCAGCAACCGCCGTTCTCTCTTCGCCGGCGAAGTTACTGCCGCCGAGCTCGCCAAGCCCTACCTCTCCCGTCTGCATCTCACGGAACCGCAGCTTAACTGCTTCCTCCATGTGTCGGAGAATGTCCTGAAGGAGGCCGATGAGATCGACCAACGAATTGCCAAAGGTGAGTATGTAGGTCCTCTCGCCGGAGTTCTTGTCGGCGTCAAGGATAATATCTGCACGACGGGTATGCCTTCTACTGCCGCCTCCCGAATCCTCGAGAACTATCGCCCACCATTCGATGCGACGGCTGTCAGGAAGATCAAGGAGCTCGGAGGGATTGTTGTCGGCAAAACTAACTTGGATGAATTCGGAATGGGTAGTACAACTGAAGGTTCTGCGTTTCAGGTTCGTTGACATATTTTTATGTATTGGGAATTATGGAAAGTTTGCATAGAATTCATCATTTCGTCATCCTCTTCGTAATTATGTAATCTAATATTATCAGAACTCTACATAATTCCTTTCTTGGTTTAGTATTATATTCTAAAGGTCGATAATTGATGAAGGAGATGTAGGCTTTGATGACAGTTATGGTTGTAGGTGTTATCTCCTTCTCGGAGAGAAAGACGATCAAAACGTTTTCAAATGATGGCCCTTGTGGATTGAATCATCCATATGATAAAGAACAAGAAGCTCCAGACTTTTTTTTTTGGTTAATTTTCTCTTTAGAAGAGATGTTAATTACTTGGGTCGATTAAGCTCTTAATTTGGTTTAGGTGACTGCAAACCCATGGGACATAACCCGAGTGCCCGGAGGATCATCAGGAGGCTCAGCGGCAGCTGTTGCCGCTAGGCAATGTATGGTGTCTCTTGGTAGTGATACCGGTGGAAGTGTAAGGCAGCCAGCATCATTCTGTGGTGTTGTTGGTCTTAAGCCAACATATGGACGTGTCTCCAGGTTTGGTCTTATGGCTTATGCCTCGTCCCTGGACGCAATCGGGTGCTTTGGTTCTACTGTTGCTGATGCCGGGATTCTTCTTCACGCTATTTCTGGTCATGATAGATTTGATGCCACTAGTAGCAAACAAGTAAGGGTTCTTGTGGCCTGAGTAACGGTTTGTTCTTTTGTTTTGTTGTTTATGTTGTTCATGTGATTATGATCATATTCTATGCATCTGTTCTTTTTCAGGAGGTGCCTGATTTCCCATCCCAGTTTCCTTCTTTAGACTCTTTTGAATCCAAACCATTGAAGGGATTGAAAGTTGGTCTGATCTGTGAGACTCTTCAAGATGGTGTTGATACCGGAGTAAAATCTGCTACCCGGGAAGCTGCATCTCACCTAGAAGAATTGGGTTGTGATTTGACAGAGGTCTTGCTTAAATCCCATTGTTATGTGCTGTACTGTACACAGATGTTCTTATTTAGTCTACATGTATTGATGGTGTTACTGAGATTATGGACTAAATTGCAGGTGTCAATGCCCTCCTTTTCTCTTGGACTGCCAGCCTACTATGTTATTGCCTCATCAGAGTCGTCCTCCAACTTAGCGCGTTATGATGGCCTCAGGTAAGATCGGAGAATGAGTCTGTGGACTTACAGTTCAAGTGATATCCACCAGTTGCACGATGTTTTGTTGTCTGAATAGCTACTAAGATATTTTTAAAGGGCCAAGGTTTTTTGGACCTGATGTAATGGCTGGATATGTCTGTTATATGTCATAGTGCTCCCACATGATGTGTTTTCCTTCCCTCAAACATCTTCGGGCATATTGAATTAAAGATGTTGGTAATAAATGGACTTCTAGACGCTGAAAGGATTGATTGTTGTGTTGGTATGCAGATATGGAAGTCAAGCTACTGCTGATGAACTAAATAAACTGTATGAAGATTCCCGGGGTAATGGATTTGGCAAGGAGGTATGAGTCTACTAAGACTATAAGCAAAACGTTTTTTGTTGTAATAGAAATTACTGCTGTTCAAGTTCTATATTTCTAACTGAGGATCATTTCTTTTTCAGGTGAAAATGAGAATTTTAATGGGAACATATGGCCTGTCGGCGGGTTACTATGATGCCTACTACAAGCGAGCCCAACAGGTTAGACCATAGATGTCATGTTTTGGTTGATCTTCACACGGTTATCATTTGTGATTTGTCTTATTGTCGGGCTTTGGACATGTAATAGTTAGAACCCGAAATTGAAATTTACGGCTGAGGGGGTAGCGTTTGTTTATAGGTGAGAACGTTAATTCGGAAAGATTTCAAGGCAGCCCTGGAACAGAACGACATCCTTATCTCTCCAGCAGCTCCTTCTGCAGCATACAAGATCGGTAGTCGGCCTTTACATAACTCCGTCATTGTTGTGTATTTGCTTAAAAAATTGCCATCGGATAACACCAAATACCCTTCTATTGGTAAAATCTCTTTTAGGTGAAAAGAAAGATGATCCATTGGCAATGTATGCTGGAGACATTATGACGGTAAAAGCTTGTTTGATCCTCGATCCTGCCTCCAATCCATCACCACTCTAATACGGCTTTAACATGACAGTATCGACAATGCAGGTGAGTGTAAACATGGCCGGGCTTCCTGCCCTCGTGCTACCCTGCGGATTAGTACAAGGAGGGCCTTCGGGTCTTCCTGTTGGCCTTCAAATGATCGGTTCAGCCTTTGACGAGGTATATGATCAAACTCTGTTTCCCGTACCGTCTCATGAGCTCACTGATCTCGTAATAAACGATACCGCCGCATAGGAAGTTCGGTTTATCTGCAAGATGGTGCTTTTCAGTTGCTGTTTGATGATAATATCTATGCTGCGTTTCTTTTTGTTCTTGATTGTTTGTGCAGGCTAAATTACTCAAAGTGGGTCATGTTTTCGAGCAGACACTTAAAGGTTCGGCCTTTATCCCTCCATTGTTAGCCAATGTTGCTTCTTCCACTTCCACCAGTGTCTGAAAACAGAGGAACGAGCGATCACCATGGACAAAATCTCCATGATCTTCAGTAACTTCAGATGTAATAATGTCGGTTAGAGTTAAATATATGCAATGTTTAAAAAAGAATACGACATTAACTCTAACCATAATGATTTTTTGGGCCATAATGATTTTTTGGCCCATTTACTCAATGGGCCGAAATTTTGGGCCCAAACAGATTCTATGCCCAATCCGAAGAGTAGAATGTCTTCTTGGGTGTATACACTTGGCAAAAGGTGAAGTGGATAAAGAGTGACGTCATATTCCAATTGAACAAGAACATTGTGTAATGGGAGACATTATAATTATTAATTATCATCGGCAAACATTATCATTTCTAACAACGAAATAGAACAAAAATCTTGGGACAAGACAATAGGCACGTGTGAAAGAATTGTTAGTTTGCATTTATCCTTCATAATTACTAGTTAAGGTGAGTCCAAATGTATCAATAACCGTTTTATACTATCTTAGATTATACGACCGGTTAAAACCGTATAGATTCGGTTTATATTGGTTTGATTCGGTTTGTGTGTGTATATATATTGTCAATTAATGGATGAGATATCAGCATGTGGCTGAGCTGTCCTCTTTAATACTTTATTTGGTAAATTAATTATAAAAAACATTTTAAAAAAACGTCTAAAGGCTTTGACTTTTACAAGTGTGGAAAAAAAATACAAGATTATAAAACATGCCCGTGGAATATAAGTAGATGAGATTACCAAACATGCCCATGATTGTGTTCATTTCATGATCCATCACATGTTTTTTCTTATATTATAATTACTTAATGAAATACATAGCAACAGTAATATAACAAAGATTTTAATTACAACATTGATATTCGTATTTATAGTTACGCCTCACAACTCCAAATTCTACCCAATTACACCCCAAAATTAACCGAAATACAAATTCACCCCTAACCATTTCCACATATTCATTTCCCATCCCTTCACCAAAAGCCCAAAATCAAAACGGATATGATAAAACATAGTTTGGTAGTCATCTGAAACACATATAATCTTGTTTATAATTTCCCTTAAACCCTAAGGAAATAAACACTAAGCTCAGGACCACCATTTGCACCTTCAGGGCTCATCATGTAAAAAGCTTCCGAGTCACGTGACCCGACGACTCGCTCGAATCGGGCTCTCATATACATGAGCTCACCCATCTCGGACCCCGCCTCCTCCTCCTCCTCCCCCTCCTTCGCCGTCGCCGGTAAAACTCCGGCGCCCATCGTGATGCGCCCCACCGCCGTCAGAACCTTCCACTCCGCCGCTCCGACCTCCCTCCTCGCCGCGAAGCCGCATTTCTTCCCGTTGCAGTAGGTTCGCCACGTGGGCTCTTCTAGAAGCTTCTTGGGAAGCCCCAGTTTCTTCTTCTCCTTCTTCGTCATCCCGATCGAGTCGATCTTCTTCTCGCACTCGAGCGCTATCCGGACAAGCCCAGATGCCATTTCTCGGACGAGAACACTGGTCGGTGTCGGCAACTCGATCAGAACCGCTGGTAATCGGGTCGGGTCGTCTTGTACGGCGAAGTGGACGTGCCCACGTCGGTTTCCGAAGAGAGTCCCGACGACCCGAGTGCCCAGACCCGAGTACGAGTACCCGAACCGGTTCCTGTTGAAGAGAGTGAGGGCGTAACGGAGCTTAGAGACGGTCTTCTTCTTGTCGGAATCGGGTGGGGTGGGGTCGGAGGAAGAGGAGTTGAAACGGGTCAGGATCTCTGCCTCGTCGACGCTGTCGTCGTCGTCCCCCTCTTGGATCTTCTTTCTCCAGTTGAAGTAGCGCTTGGAGAGAGAGAGAGAGGAATCGTGCGGAGATTTGGCTAAGATTGTCTTCATCTGCGGAGCTTTCTCTTTCGGATTATGGAAATGAGAGATTTTTCTTTTGGGGAAAGAAAGCTCATTCGTGTCTTCTTCGTATGGAGTCTTTATTCTGGTATTTAATATGTCTTTGGGGGCTCATTTTCCATCATTTTTTTTATTATTATTTGACACACACACATATATATATATATATATATATATATATATATGTTACATTTAATAAAAAAAAATTATGGCACATCATATCTAACGAATGATTTGATGTGATGAGAGATAATATAGATGAGACAAAAGTAAATGTGAAAAAATAGGAAGGTGATCAGCCTCCACCTAACTGCAGGAGTGGGCTCCTTGGGAATATGAAGTACACTGCACCATTCCAAATTTTGATAAATAATTAAATCAGATTTTATTGAAATGCCCATATATATATGGTTGGAGATTGAGATAAATAATGAAAACTCAATTAAAATCATGTTTATAACGGATGATGTTTTGTTTTTTTAAAAAAATACTATCATCTGAAATATTATCAACGAGAATGTGAATTCCATATCAAAATTAAAATTTTATATTTTGGAAAATTATATGTATATATAGATGTGTCAGAGGAGACAAAAGCGTGTGTGATGGATCATAATCAAATCAAATGTGTGTGTAAGTCTCATGTGGGGCTACATGGTTGAAATTTCAGGTCACTTTGGTCTCTACATCCATAGTATTCTTTTTCTCTTGAAATTGGTATCAAACCCATTATTCCTTGTTTTAGTATCATTTGATATGGAATTATAATTATTTATTTAAATTTCTATATCATAATCAATAGGTTGTTATGGTATTGGTGGGTGTTTTGCAAGAGTTTTATTAGCCCTAACTAAAACCAGCAATAACTTTTTTCATAAGCAGAATCTAAGATGAAATCGAAATCAAAAGAAATTTAATATATGTATAGTTTTGGAAAATAATTTCAAATAATGATAAAATGAGGCAATGGAGACATGAAAGTTGTTTCGCATGTCAGAAAATGATGGGACGAATTAAGGCAACAGACAACACCAAACCCATCGAGCCAATAAAAAAAACTTTGTCATAGTCTTCTCCCCCCACTGAATGCGCCAACCCCTACACACTCCACCTACTATTATTATTATTATTTTCCAATAATTCTGTTTTAACTTTGAAATCCTTGAATTTGCGCTGGTCCATATATATTGGAATTTTGTGTGCCGCATTTCCATGGGTTGATTTATTTAGGATTGTTATGTAATCAACTTTGGCCCTGAATCATAGCAACACTAACACCAGATGTTTTGTTTGTTATATCCATTAGGTTTAAAATAAGTGAGTTATGTATGTGTGTATGTATATATATATGTATATATATATATTAATAGTAACATTTCGTCCATGGATATAAAAAAGATTCCCAACATCTTATAGAAAATTTTGGAAATTATTTCCATTAAATCCATATGCTCATCCACCATTCATAAAAAAAAAATCTTTTTTTAATGATGATGTGATAATATTGGATTTACAGCGTACATATAAAAACACATGTATTATTCTTAATCAAATCGAACTAACAAACATTATAAAGCATAAATTATAGAGAGAAAAAAACATGTGAAGTCTTCATATGGATTGCAAAATTACATCACAATTTCAATTTCAGATTAGTTAAATATGATGTTATAAACGAACTTTAATCTTAAAATTTATGAAATTTTAACTGTTTTTTTTTTTACTATATACCTAAAAGATGGGACCGACCAAATTCACAGATCAACTAATTGTGGCACATACCCAACAACTTTTTTTTTTTGGGTTAAAAAAAATCGAGTTCTTGGAGCTTTTAATTAATTAAAAATTATATAAAAATCGACGCATAAACAGTTTCAAACATTTATAAGCCGTGGAACCAAATGAAACAGACGTAAACAATAACCTTAAAACATATAAAATCAAATAATGTATCTAAAGAAAATTTTAAAAAAACTGATATGTAATGCAATAAATCGACATCATCAAAAAGTCGTCTTCTTCGTTCAAAATCTAGTCAACAAACCCGCACCAGCAGCAGCATGACTGTGACACATTATCTGTTAATTACCCAACTAAACACATTTCAAACAAAAAAAAAGGCAATACAAATGTTTTTATATTTACCCTCCGTACGCACGCTTATGTGTATGTTTTGATTACCAAAAAAAAAATGAATATATTATATATACAAATATTTACTATATAAATTTAACAAATATTATGATGGTTATTATTATCATTTTCCTTTCGGAAGATCTTGTCGCGATTGGGTTGGGCCTCTTGTTACTGGGCCTAGTCATATATAAATGCTTATTATTGTTGGGCCTTTTTCGTTAGCCTTAAGGCGGCGGTCCATATCAATGAGCCTCTTCACCTGACCCAATAGCCCCACTAATTTCGTATACATTGTATAATTAAGATTTAAGAGTATAAGACCCCATATTATATAAAATTTTCCAATATTTAAGTGAATTTTGATAAGTTATCAAATTACTTCCAAATGAATACATATTTTTTTAACATGTATTTATACGTGTCTATTTCGAATTCATATAAATATATACTTTTTGAAATTATTATTTTAATAATATAGGATTTATCATATTTATTAACATTTTTAATTATTAATATTTGAACTGTTATTTAACATTATAATTTTTTAAAGATATATTTAAAAATTTTATATATCCGTTTATTTTTAGGCTATGTATTTTGTGTCAGAAAGTTCATTAATATTTATATTATTAGTTTTAATTTCATTATGATCTGACTGAACTCTTTTTTATTTTTAATTTCTAGAAAGTTTGAAACTCTGATTCGTCAACTTTTCTGTCGTTTATTAAATTTTAAAAACCATGAAATCATTGTGATATGAATGACTAATGAGAATGACGTCATGGATGATTCTAAAAGCACGTTAGATTATCATCCCGTTACCTCAAAAGCATCCATTTCATTAAATCGTAATCTTAAACTAATAATATTTTATGCGTATTATTATTTTATTTCTTTCGCAATTAAAATAATAAAAACAAATATGAATTTTTTTGTATAATTTATTTTTTTCGCCTTAACCTATTTCTTCGTACGTCACCACCAACCGAAGTACGGTTCAAGTAAACGAGAGCAATTGGATTTTAACAATATATTTATTAGCACCTAATATTCCGAAACAACTAACGGTCTAACACATTCGAGAACTGAAAAATCCTCCGATAATAATAATTCGGACACTATATTATCAACTATTATTATTGTTATTATTTCTTAATTTTGGAAAATATTTCTCTGTTCATTTTGTATCACCAAACCATACAATGTATATATATATATATATATGTTATGTACAGTTTAAAAATAAAAATATAACGTAATCTAAAAATAATATATATATATATATAATCATAAAATAAATATATTTCTAAAACTGGTATTTCATAATTCATACAACATTGCGAGCAGCCGTAAAGAATGATGAGTGGCATTTAAATGATTGTTGTATATTGCAAAATATAAAAATATATAGACAATATTAGGTTTCGAATATAAAATCACATAATATATGTTATGGCGACCACATTTCGATTAGATAATCATGGTACACTAATCCCATTTGTGAAGGCTAAGGAAATAATGGACTCTTGAGATTGTATTATCAACTGAAATACATGAATTTTACCAACAAAAAAAAAACAAAAACTAAAATACATGTGAGATACGACGTAAACCGACAAGACAGTAACAAATCTACAGCCTTGTAACATTAATTACAGATACTGTCCATATAGAAATTACAGATCACAAAGTTGAAAAAACTACTTAACCAAAAATATATATTTATTTTGTTTAACAATTTGTTTCTAGAAGAAAATTGAAACTTCCGATTACGTTCCCATGAAATCGGAAATGGAAGAAACAAGGGATCTGGATCTCGACCATTATTGCAGGAAAAAAAATCATATGTTGTCTGATAATGGAATAATCTGCCAAGGTTTGGACGCCGTCAATCACATCATTCTCTTTTTTTTTTATTCCCATTTATTTAATTTTATTTCGATTTTCCCCTCAAAATATGCCCTTTTTTTGTTTTTCCAAGAAGCTTCCATAGGGATAAACAAATATCTCTTTATATATAAAAAAAAAGGAGAAAAGTCAAAGAAAAATAGCCGTAAATGTCAAAGTCGTTGTTCAAAGTTGGTCATTTTGAAAAGCTCTGTTCTCTTCTTCCTCAACGAACACACACACGCAGACAATTGTATAAATAAATAAAAAAATGATCTTTTCTCTCGCCCATATTTATGATGTTCTAAATTTCACTTATTTTTCTCAGATTTTGCAGCTTTCATTAAAACCCAGATTTCCCAATCCTCAAATCGCCGATTCTTGAAGATTAGATTTTCTGGGTTTTTCTTCCATTTCTTCGATTTCATATCCTCCGCGACGAAACCTTTTTGTTTGTTCTTTGTCCACTGGGACGCAGCCGGAGAGGACGTTCAGACAGAAAGGAGAGAGAAACGGACGGATCTTTGGGAGAGATGGCGGGAGGGAGGAGAAGGAAGAGGCTGCATCTGAGCAAGATCTATTCCTACACGTGCGGGAAATCGAGTTTCGAAGAGGACCACTCGCAAATCGGAGGACCCGGATTCTCCCGGGTCGTTTTCTGCAACGAACCGGGTTCTCCGGAGGTAGAGCGGCGGGGCTACGCCGGAAACTACGTCCGCTCGACCAAGTACACCGCCGCTTCCTTCATCCCCAAGTCTCTGTTCGAACAGTTTCGCCGCGTCGCCAATTTCTTCTTCCTCGTCGCCGGAATCTTGTCCCTGACGCCGCTCGCGCCGTACGGATCCATCAGTGCTCTTCTTCCGCTCGTCCTCGTCATCGCCGCCACCATGGTCAAAGAAGGCATCGAAGATTGGGGCCGCAAAAAACAGGTTCGCTTAATTTTTTTTCTCTCAAAACTGAACACGAATCCTCAGTTCAGTTCTTGTTTCTGGTTTCTCGAGCTCTAAGGTTTGAGATTCTGTACCAAATCGTGTTTCAGGACATAGAAGTGAACAACAGGAAGGTGAAGGTTCACGGCGGAAATGGAATATTCCGGCAAGAAGAATGGAGGAACCTCCGCGTCGGAGACATCGTGAAAGTCCAGAAAGACGAGTTTTTTCCGGCGGATCTTCTTCTGCTTTCATCGAGCTACGAAGACGCAATCTGCTACGTCGAGACGATGAATCTAGACGGCGAGACGAATCTGAAAGTGAAACAAGGGCTTGAAGCAACATCGTCAACGTTACACGGCGATTCTGATTTCAGAGATTTCAAAGCTGTCGTCAGATGCGAGGACCCGAACGCGAATCTTTACGCCTTTGTCGGAAGTTTCGAACACGAAGAACAGAAGCTGCCATTGTCAATCCAACAGCTTCTTCTGAGAGATTCGAAGCTCAGAAACACAGAGTATATCTATGGAGCAGTCATCTTCACCGGACACGACACAAAGGTTTGCTTCTCTCTCTCTCTCTGCTCTGTTTTTTTTTTCTTCACAATCTGCAAGTACAAAACACTGAAACATTTCTGAAACAGGTGATCCAGAACTCGACCGATCCTCCATCCAAGCGGAGCACCATCGAGAGAAAGATGGACAAGATCGTCTACTTGATGTTCGGAGTCGTCTTCCTCATCGCTTCGATCGGTTCAGTCATCTTCGGCGTCGAGACAAGAGACGACAAAGAATCAGGCGGAAAGATGGAGAGATGGTACTTGAGACCAGACGATTCCGACATCTTCTTCGATCCAGACAGAGCTCCAGTCGCCGCCATTTACCACTTCCTCACCGCCGTCATGCTCTACAGCAACTTCATCCCGATTTCCTTGTACGTCTCCATAGAAATCGTCAAGGTTCTCCAGAGCATTTTCATCAACCAGGACATTCACATGTACTACGAGGAGGCCGACAAGCCCGCCCACGCAAGAACATCGAATCTTAACGAAGAACTCGGACAGGTCCACACCATTCTCTCCGACAAAACCGGTACGTTGACCTGCAATTCCATGGAGTTCATCAAGTGTTCTATCGCCGGGACGGCGTACGGACGTGGTGTCACCGAGGTCGAGAGATCGATGGCGGCAAGAACCGGGGCTTCGCTTTCGGATCACGACACGGAAGAAGACCAGGAAAACCACGATAGGGTTAAGATTAAAGGGTTTAACTTCAAGGACGAGAGGGTTATGGATGGGAAATGGATGATGCAGCCTCATTCCGAGGTGTTGCAGATGTTCTTCAGGCTGTTGGCGATATGTCACACCGCCATTCCAGAAATCGACGAAGAGAACGGGAAAGTTTCGTACGAGGCCGAGTCCCCGGACGAGGCTGCGTTCGTCGTTGCAGCACGAGAACTCGGGTTCGAGTTCTTTAAACGGAATCAGACCAGCATTTCTGTCAGGGAACTGGATCTAACATCCGGGCAGAAAGTCGAGAGGTTTGTTTCCGTTTTTCGTCGATTCTGAATCCACTTTTCAGATGTTCGGAGCGAGTAATCCGTTCGGTTCTTGCAGGGTTTACAGTCTACTAAACATTCTCGAGTTCAACAGCACCAGAAAGAGGATGTCGGTTATCGTGAGAGACGAAGACGGGAAACTCTTCTTGCTATCCAAAGGAGCTGACAGGTCTGAAACACCATTACTTTTCGAAATCAAGACCTGAGTTTTTTCGATTTCTTTGATCGGCATTCACATTTGGTTTTACGTTTCAGTGTCATGTTCAAAAGACTTGCGAAAGAAGGGCAGCAGTTCGAGGCGAAAACCCGAGAACATGTGAACGAGTACGCAGATGCAGGCCTGAGGACGCTGATACTCGCATATCGTGAGCTCGACGAGAACGAATACATCGAATTCAGCAAGAAATTCAGCGACGCGAAGAATTCTGTAAGCGCGGACCGCGAGTCCTTGATAGATGAAATTACCGACGAGGTGGAACGAGATCTGATTCTTCTCGGCGCCACTGCGGTTGAGGATAAACTTCAGAACGGGGTATGTCTCGGAAATCGAAGCGGTTTGGATGCATTTCCTGAATGAATCTTGGAAGATTCGGTTTGTGATTTGATCTGTGTTTCATTTTCAGGTTCCTGGTTGTATCGACAAGCTTGCTCAGGCCGGGATAAAGATTTGGGTTCTGACCGGAGATAAAATGGAGACGGCTATCAATATCGGGTAAACGACGTTCTCTAGATACGAAAACATGTACACGAATTCCTCCTTGTTCTCGGTTTCTAAACTTCATAGAATTCTGCAGATTTGCCTGTAGTTTACTAAGGCAAGAAATGAAGCAGATCATCATCAATCTTGACACACCAGAGATCATATCATTGGAGAAATCCGGAGGGAAGGACGAAATCCAGATGGTAAGATTCCGCCATTTCAGGATTTCGATTTTCAAGAACTGTTCTTATGTGAGATATATGTGTTCTGATACGTGGACCGACGTTTACAGGCGTCGAGGGAAAGCGTTGTGAAGCAGATAAAAGAAGGGATGGCTCAACTCGATGCTGCATCGGGTGCTACCTCCGAGGCATTTGCTCTGATCATCGACGGGAAATCACTCGCTTATGCTCTCAAGGACGATATCAAGAAAAAATTTCTCGATCTCGCCACCAGATGTGCCTCTGTTATCTGCTGCAGATCAACCCCGAAACAGAAGGCCTTGGTAATGTTTCTGAGCTCTTTCGACTTTTTTCCAGCTTCTGGTTTAAAAGATTGAAGCATCGAGGAAATTCATGCTCATAGAAAGATGTTTTCGGGGGCTTTTCAGGTTACGAGATTGGTTAAAACTGGAACCGGGAAGACAACCTTAGCAATCGGCGATGGAGCGAACGATGTCGGGATGCTCCAGGAAGCGGATATCGGCGTTGGGATAAGCGGAGTGGAAGGAATGCAGGCCGTGATGTCCAGCGACATAGCCATTGCTCAGTTCCGATACTTGGAACGTCTTTTACTCGTCCACGGGCATTGGTGTTACCGCAGAATCTCATCAATGGTGAGTTTCTGAATCAAAACACGTTTCCGTAATCTTTTCCTCACAATTCTTGAAAAAGTTTCGGTTTTTTCTGACAAGATTCATCTTTTCCCCCCCTCCAGATTTGCTACTTTTTCTACAAGAACATCGCTTACGGAGTCACGTTGTTCTTGTACGAAGCTTACGCTTCCTTCTCGGCTCAACCTGCTTACAATGAATGGTTTCTTTCACTGTACAACGTCTTCTTCTCTTCCTTACCCGTCATTGCTCTCGGCGTCTTTGACCAGGACGTCTCGGCCCGCTTCTGTTTCAAGGTACTGAACTCGAAAAATTTCGGATCTGATGCGAAAGATTCAACTTTATTGCAGAGATCATTCATGGAATAAACCTGAAAAAAAAACGTGTTCTTGATCTTTGCAGTTCCCGTTGCTATACCAAGAAGGAGTGCAGAACGTTTTGTTCAGCTGGAGAAGGATCATCGGATGGATGATGAACGGGGTGATCTCGGCTCTGTTGATTTTCTTCCTCTGCAAGGAATCTCTGAAACACCAGATCTTCGACACAGACGGGAAAACCGCAGGGCGGGAAATCCTGGGGGGGACAATGTACACTTGCGTTGTCTGGGTCGTGAACTTGCAGATGGCTCTGTCCATAAGCTACTTCACGTGGATTCAGCACGTCGTGATCTGGGGATCGATCGGATTCTGGTACGTCTTCCTCATGATCTACGGAGAAATCACGCCGAGTTTCTCGACGGATGCCTACAGGGTGTTCCTGGAAGCTCTGGCTCCGTCCCTTTCGTTCTGGCTCATCACCCTCTTCGTCGTGATCTGCGCTCTGATCCCTTACTTCGCGTTCAAGTCGATTCAGATGAGGTTTTTCCCGGGCTATTACCAGATGATTCAGTGGATCCGGTACGAGGGTCGGTCCAATGATCCTGAGTTTGTGGATATGGTGAGACAGAGGTCGATTCGGCCGACCACCGTCGGGTTCACGGCCAGGCGAGCCGCCAGCGTCAGGCGGTCCGGTCGGTTCCACGATCAGATCCATAACGGTTTGGTCGCTTTTCAATAAGATTTTGTCTTTTTTTTTTGGCGAAGGTGTAGATAAGGATTTACAGGGGAAAAAATTAGGGTTCTTGTTGAGAGATCTATTTGGCAGAGATACCGTGTCGGAGAAGGTATCGGAAATCACGAATTCTAAACGAGATTTTACGGTGAGTGTATTTGTACATACTTCCTCCTGTATAGATCTCACATTTTTTTGTTTATTTGTACTTTTACTTTGGTTAATAAAACATATTAAACTGCTGCCCAACAAAGAAGGAAACGTGCTTATGAAATTTGTGTCGGTTGATGATCCTTCAACCCTCTGTATGCCGCAGAAGGTTCCAAATACAAACACACCTCACAACTTGTTCAGCTACAGAACCAAGGAGAGGGAAAAGAAACATGTGTACCTGAAATTTGCATCACTCACTGAATCAAAGAACACAGCAAATCAAGTTTCCGACACATCAAGATCAAGATGGAAATTACAGCAATTCTTCAAAGTCTGCAGAACAGATGGAATGAATCTGATGCTGCAGACATTGATGGAGATGAAAGAAGATTGAAAAAGATCAGATGGGTTTTGTCTCAGAGACGTCAACAAAGATATCGAGAAACCTCAGTCCCACTTGTCCTTCAACTTGTCGCCGTGCTTGAATTCATATGTCAAGACCAAGCTCCCATCCATTCTCTTCAATACAAAGCTCTCAACCAGAACATAACACTTATAGCTCTTCCAATCCACTTTCTGTGATCTCTTGACAATCCCCACTCGGTTATCGTCTCTGCTTCTCCACCCGAACCTCTCCTCTTCCCATCTCATCCTCTCCACGACTGCCGACCCCAAACCTATGTTCTTCTCCTCCTCTCCCGAGAACCCGATCATCCCTTCTGCATCCACCCTTCTTGTACTCTGCGCGATCACTTTCCCTTCCAGCTTCACCACTTCTGCTTCAGTATCTACTTCAACTACAACTTCATGGCCTTCATTATGAATATTTTTCTGCGAGTAAACCTCTTCCCAGCTCTGTTCAAGGGTCATGCTGTAATACATTGATCTCTTGATCTGATCCTTGACCTCTCCTTCCTTAACGAATATGAAAGGCACGTACCATTTTCCGACCGTGACGCTCATATCCAGATCAGGAAGCTCGTTACGAAGCTTTCTGTCTATGCCCTTTGCATCATCTCTGAGGCCGAAGCTCTCGGAAGTCGAGTATTCCATCGTCCAGCCTTTTCTCCTCAAGAAATGTGGAGGCACTCCATCTGGAGCAATGGATTTCGCGGAGAAATGTCGGTTTGATGATCTTCTTGGAAAGATCTCAAATTGCTGGTAGATGTCATGAGGATTTAGCGGTTTCGGTTTAGCGTCAGGGACGTAGCTGAGGCAAAAGCAGCAGGGGACTCTGTCCTCTTCTTTCGCACAAACATGAGCCTCTCTGAAACCAAGATTACAAAAATTTCAAGATTTAGGCATATCGAAATTGCGCAGTTTTCGTGATCTTAACCGTTAATTACCGTTACGAACCGAAACAGAGTAGATGACAAGAACCAGTTTATGCATCTGGATTCTTAGTATAAAGCATACCCTTTATGCAGACTATGAATTTCATTGGCATACCTCTTTATGCAGATTATACAAAAGTTAGAGCTTTCAAGATTCTAGGCGTACCCTTTATGTCAGAATAGGAATTTTCATTGGCAAGTGACTGCTAAACAGATCGAAAAGGCGAGAAAGTTTGGATCTTTATGCATACCCTGAATGCTTCCCGCGCCGTTTTACGACGTAGTAACGATTCGAAGACAGAGGCTGACCAAGAACAGGGATGAACACGACAGGGTTTCGAGAAACTCTTCGATGCTCTCCAGATCCGGTCGTATATCTCACGGTGAGCTTCGCGTTCTGCGGAAATGGAAAGCCTCTGAGTTCGGAGTCGTAACACAAACCGAAACAACACTGAGGCTGTGACTCTTCGTCTTGAATCACCAACACGCCTGAGTTCGGTCCCTCCGGGGGAGTCTGCGTCAGCTCCGGTGGTGGGTTTCTCTGGTATTCTGACAATCGCCTTGTAACATACATCTTTCCCGAGCGATTTGAGGGATTGAAAAGTATATGTATATGATACGTGTGTGTGTATATATATGACAAGGAGATGAAGATAAGGTTAAGAAGCTATTGACTTTGACCTTAGTGTGAATATTGCAGGCACGTTCTATGTATCTTCCTGGAAATTTCATTTCCATAACTCACAGTTTTTCTTTTTTGTGTTCCAGAGACGGTTGATTTGTAGTTAGTTATTATAATATATATGAAACGGAGACCGATTCAGCCAAAAATATGAATATTTTAATATTCTATCACAAGAAAAGATTCATTCTTGATATCATTCAGAGTAAACACACAGAGTACATGCACAGTATAATAATTGTGGATACAAGGAAGAAGAAGCTGGACCACTACTCTGCGACGTTATGCGGTCTCAAACCGGTTCAGAGGTGAGATTTGTCGGAACCGCAAGAACCTGTTTTTTTTTTTTTTTTTTTGTGCTCTTCTTCATCTTCAAGCACAGGTTCAGACAGTTCCGCAAATCCAGAAATGATTGCAATCCATGATCAGATACCTTTTTGATTGAGCAGAAAATTTATCAGTATTGATGCTTTTTTTGTACATTCTACAAACAAGATGATCATAAAAATATTAACCCAACAAAAAAAAAACATGAGCTTTGGCTGAGATTGACATTGGATTACAAAGACAGCTTCTCGTTCTTTATTGTCTTCAAGTTTCATCATCATCAACCTCTTCCTCTGCATTTTTCGTTCTCACTGTCTGTTGATGTCCGAAAATCCATCTCCATCCCTTACCCTTGAAGCTTAGTCGGCTCTTCCTCACCTCTCCATCCCTCGCCGTCATCCGGCAAGACCCTCCTCCTCCGTGGTCGGGAACGCCGTCGCCATACGACCGAACAGAGCAGTCTTGCTTGTCCTTGTCCGATGACGCCGAGAAATCAAATTTCAGATCGATGAATCCTGGTTCTTCTCCTCCTGTGAAGTAACTCTCCTTCAGAGAAAACACCCTTCTCGTGCAACTCGCCGCCTCGCTTTTCCGCAGCTCCGATTCGCTGAAATTGCTCTTCCTCGCTTCGAAATTGCTCCTCCGATGCTCTGTCTCGCTGAAATTGCTCCTTCGTGGGTCGAGGTACGTTTTCCGTTGCTCTGTCTCGCTGAAATTGCTTCTCCGGTGCTCTGTTTCGCTGAAATTGCTCTTCCTCGCCTCGAAACAGCTCCTCCTCGGCGGCTCTGGCTCACTGAAGTTGCTTTTCCGATGCTCCGTCTCGCTGAAATTGCTCTTCCGTCCTTCGAAGAAGCTTCTCCGCGGTGGCTCCGCTTCGCTGAAACCGCTTCTTCCCCCCTCAAAACCGCTCCTCCTCGGCTCTGTATCGCAAAACCCTAATCCGCCATTGACGCTTGAACTCCTCGCGGCGGAAATGGAGCTCCTCGCACCCGAATACGACGACCCGTCTTCCGACCCGATAAAATACCCGGTTCCTCTGAAACTGCAGAGCGATCTCGATCTCGAAACCCCCATTTTCTTACCATCGTTGTGATCGAATGCCCAGGAATCGCTCTTTTCGTCGAACCCACCACCGTGAATCGCTCTTTTCGGGTTGATTCTCCGGAGAAGTCTCCCGATTCTCCAAAACCCATGGCTCTTCCTCTTGATCTCGACACAACTGCTGCTGCTTCTCTTGAACACGATCACTTCCTCTGTTCGCTGTCCCTTCGCCGTCACAGCCTTCCCCTGTTTCATCCCATCGGGGTTGTTGTTGCTGTTGTTCGCCGTCTTCTCGTTGTCGATCAGAAACGAGATCCGACCAACACTACCGACATCTACGGCGGCGCTCGAGCTCCGGTTGGGTGAGAAATCGGAGCAGGAACAAGAAGACAACCTCTGTTCGCCGCATTCGGAGCACACGAGGTTCACCAGGCGGTCGTTCAGACAGTACGGGCATATCCCGACGGGGGAGACCGACGGGTGCTTCCGACATGGAAGCTCCGACGAGGTACTGTACACGTCGGAGGAGAACGAAACGTCGTCGTTTCGCTCCACTGCTCTCTTTCCCCTCTCATTCATGGCGGCTGTGTAACTCTTTCCTCGAATCCCTGAAAAATCACGGCAGAGACAACGACAGGAACAGAGAAAAAAAAGGAGTTTTTGAATTTGGGTTTTGCGTGGTGATGATCACTTCATTCGAAATTAGGGTTCTTTTTTTTTCGACGGACGGGATCGTGGAGGAAGATATACGAGGACGAGAGGATGTGAAAGAGTGCTATGACGCTTAGCTATAGGCTTCTCGAGGGGGTGGCTTGCTTTACCTTTACGTTTTCTTTTCTTTTGTTTTTCATCCCTCTTTTCCCCTAATTTACCCTCCCACACTGTTTGAATTCTTACTATTACTTCTTTTTTAAAATCGGTGTATACCTTTTTAATTTTCATATACTATATTTACAAATATATATTTATTGTTATTGTTTCGATTCATATATCAAAACAACATATCCATATTAAAATTTAGATTCCCTTCTCTGTTTTTTTTTTGGGCATGGCATGAACTATAGATCAAGAGATATATCTGTGGACCATATTCAAACTAAGGTGATCCTAATAAATAATTTAAAACTAATTATTAAGCTTTATATGGTTTTGTGTGCATGTTTTAATAATATATATATATAATATAAAAAAAAGGTTGATTAGGATTTGAATTTGAGATACAGAAATGCTAAATAATAAAACATACAAAAAGTATAACAAATGCATGTGAATGCGGTCTTTATTTCGAGTTTTTTAACCCCTAAACTCCTGCATGCATCAATATGCGTGTTATCATATGATTGAGATGCGGATTTGGCCATTAATATTTCAGGGTATCATCAAAGATTTAATTTTAAATAACGGATTATTATTAAATTTAAATAACGGATTATCACACCAAACAATAATAAAAATGACAAAACAGAGAGTCGTGTGGAGTTTTTATTTTCTCTCTCTATAAAGTGGTTATGACTTCTCTTGTCGACTTCGTGGTCACTTTGAACGTCTCCATCTCTTCTCTGACTTTTTTCCCCACACTGTATCTATATGCGTTTATATATATATATATATATATATA